CGATCTCATTATGTGGAGATCACGTCATTTGTGTCATTTGTGATCAAGACACAAACTCACTGAGTCACTTTCCAGCCATGATAAATTACTTAAAAATACTCAAAACAACCCACAAAACTCAAAGAGTGACTCTGAAAAAAAAGGCTCAGTCAGCATTTTTCCAGTAGCCACATTATCTTTGGCTTTAGAGTCCGTCCCCTATACAGGCCACTAACATCTGTGTTAAGATCTCATTTAAAATGCACCATTCATGCTGTTGTATAATATGGCTCAAAATTGCACAACTTGGCTCAGTTGTGTAACAAAACATGTCAACCTACAATGTTTTAGAGCGGAAAAATCCCAATCTTGTCATCCACAAATTGATTGAGCTGGACCGGGTGATCCTGAATCCTTCCTTAGTTATGCGTAGTGTTTCTTCTTCACACTCTTTGTGTCCTCACACACACACACCACTCCTCATTTAACTACTTATTATCACTCCCCTGCTCTCTTCCACAGTGTGTCTTTTGTCCCGTCTTCTTCTGCTCACACCCGTGGTCGTGGCAGATAGCTGCCCCTCCCTGCGCCTGGTATTGCTGCAGGTTTCTTCCTGTAAAAAGGGAGTTTTTTCTTTCCACTATCGCCAAGTGTTTGCTCAAAAGGAGTGTTTGATTGTTGGGATTTTAACTCTGTTATTCTAGGGGTCGCTACATTACAATATAAAGCTTCTTGAAGCGACTGCTGTTGTGATCAGTTCAATAAAACTGAACTGAACTAAATGAAAATGAAAATGGAGTTAGAGTAAAAATGTGCCACACTCTTTCTGGGAGATGGATAAACAGATGAACGAGATGCGATAACTCTCACTCACATATAAATGTCTAACATCCTATTCGATAAAGCCACTTGATTAGAGGAAAGATGAAATCAATCAGCCTGATTTTCACTCCTAACTTTATGTAACATCCTCTGCCGTGCGGTGACGTAAAAGAGACGTCAGCCTGTTTTAACAAGCACCACTGCACCGCATGGTCATGGGAAACTGAGATGCACTCAGCATTCAAGTGCTTGTCTCAGCCTGGTTTAAACCTCACAGCCTGTAAACCATGAACAGTGCAGTCCTTTAAAGCTTTGTTTCATAGGATAGTGAAGCCGGGTGATTTTAACAGCTGGTAGCTGATTGTTCAAATATCAGGAGGTATCTGGTTTAGACGAAGGGTAAAGCATGAACACAGTATAGTGGGATTATTGTGAATATTCATTCTGTCATTGAGGTAATTATTCATGCATCGTTACAGAAGGAGCTTGATCAATAACTTCTTTCTTAACTTCTGTGCTGAGACCTTAATGAGGGGGAAACTCTGCATTAAAAACTACAAAATGACCTTTGCACCTTGCACCTCTGCAAGGTGCAAAGGTCATTTTGTAGTTTTTAATGCAGAGGCAGACACAGTATTAAAGTATTTGAGACTACCCACTTGCCAGTTAACAAATCAAGTTTTTGTTATGCAAAATACCAGCCTTATGGCCAAATAACTTACGAGGTAATTTCTTAGATAGCACAGTTAGAGAGCGGAGAAGCAGAGAACCTTGCAGTTGTTGGCTAATATTTTATCTCCACCTGTGCCAGACAATGAATGTCAGTGTTACATCTAATCTGTTAATTGTTGAGTTTTGATCCAATTGCTTAATAACATTTGTATAATAAATCAGTTTTTACACATTTAAATAAATAAACAATTCAACTCTTAATGGTTACCAAAAAAGGATAATACTGTATCGTACTGTACTTGTACTACGGAGCTGTCACTGTAACTTGTGCAGGCCTTCAACACAGTAAAAGGGTGCTATCTAGTGGCAGAAAGAAAACAGGGTATGTCCAGCATGTTTCACAGCTGCATATTGACATCATTGCAGACGTCAGCACAGCACAGACACTGCAGTCACAATTATGCTGTTACACCTTGTGATTCACACTCTTTTTTTAATTAGATATATTGTGCACAGCGTAGATGGAAACGAGAGATGAGGCGATTGGGAAACATTCGGGCCTCGGTTTAAAACAATTGGAATGATCGTTTTATGTAGTTTGTAGTATTTATCTCGACATATTCTTTTCCACATAAAGCATAAATGTTTAATTAGGTGAGCTATGTTTGTGTGATCTTTGTATTAGCTTGTCATACTGAAAGATTTTGCGGTATTTGTAGAAGATATGCAACATTCAGAAAGCTGGTAGCAGTAACCAGATATTCTATTTTATATTTTTATATTATATTTGAGATGCTTTTTCGTTTAAATGAACATCATTTTTATTTTTTTGGTTTAATCTAAAAGCACACTGTCATTGTAATGGCCCTTTTTTACCACAAGATGGCTCCAGATACATACAGCGATACATTTTCAAAAGCATGCTGTTCATTTCTTCAGTTTTAACCTGATCATAAATACAATCCAGAAGATGAGCATTAAAATTACATATGAGCATCATAAGCATCTATCAGAAATCCGCAGTTTCTTTATGTTTTTGTGTTTGCGTGTGCACATAATGAACCTGCTTTTCAAAGAGACCTATAGAGGAAAGAAAAACTGCCAGTAAAGGAAAATAAAATGACTCCAGTGATTCTTGCAGTGTAGTAGAAGATTATTAATTAGGGATACCGTGGTACATTGTCCTCAGGGAGTGGAGTGTTGGGGGTTCTCAGAAGCAGACACTGCACTTGTGGCACCGAAGGGAATTTGCAGGTTTGCACCTTACTTGTTTTATTAAAACTCCTGAGACTGATGCTCAGTGCTAGTATATAACACCATGCATGGTGTGTGGTAGTTTTTGTGTGAGTGTGGCAAAAAAAAAAGATGGCTGAGGAGCGAATTAATGAATGAAAAAGCTTTCCAAGATGTATATTTAAAGCAGTAGGGGTAAAGCGTGTGCCGTCGTGTGCTCGCATGTGTGATGTGACACTGACACCGTCACATGCTAGATTAAGCAGTTTCAGAAACGTGCACTTAAAAACAGTACAGCCTATTTGTGGCTGGCCATCTCTGTAGTGTTTGCAACGGCGGGTATTTTTAAAAAAAGCAAGGAGTGTTATTTTAGACATTTACACGTGAAACGTCACATTAAAAACATTTGTGAATGTATTCTCAGCCACGAGGTGTTCCATGAACTCTTCACAATATTACTTTGTTAATCATCTGCCTGGGTTTGCAAAGGCCAAATTTGCTTTGAAAACAAAAGCCCAGAATATTTAAATAGAAATTTCACTTATTTTCTTATTCCTCCAAACAAATCCTCTGAAAACAAGCACATTTGTGTTTCCTACCTTTTTTGTGTTATTTCCCAGAGGTACCTGCACTATCAGATCAGCTCCAGTACCACCATGAATACTAGCGGTATGGGGATACTGCAGTATCCATCCGATACTAAGTAAATATTGTATTGCCAGTATTGCCAATAGCAATACCGATACTGATGCTTTTAACATATAAAGGCAGTGTATGTAGGGGTGAGCAGTGTATCGAGATTTATGGCATGAGTCAGCATAAGTTTGCAAATTCTAAACACATTTTAATGATCCCTGCGATTCTACAATAATCATTTAATAGAATAAAAACACACCTTTCAGCTTTTGATGGGTTTTGAAACTGGGTTTTTGGAGACCCGGAATTTAAATGTGCCTGCCTCTAGAGCACAACTTCTGTTGTTTAAATGAGCTATAAACTATAAATAAATAGGCTCAAGTCCGCCCACTGAACTGGATAAGCAGCTAATAAGATGGATGTCTTTTTCAACTTTTTAAAATCCATTTCCATATTTATATTAAAAAAGATATCCCCTTGCTTTTATCATTTAGCCAACAAGTAGCTACAGATATTTTACCATTTAATTGAATGCTGAATATCTGATACTTTTAGGCCAGCCTTTCACTATAGTGAGTCTTTTCTAATCTTGACATATCCCCTGGAAAACACAAATGTACCCTGGTGTGTGATGACTCTTTTAGATGAACATATATAAAATTTAAGAGTAACTCTTATTGTGTATTGCTACTGAGCCCTATAGTTTCCTTTAGTAGTGTTAAACACAAAGGAAATGATCTGAAAATAAAACCCCAACCCTTAGATAATGGGATAGCTGTGCTTGAGTTAGGTATTCTGCTACTCCGTCGTCTCCTGCTACTGTCTATGACACATTTGTTGTTGTGTTTTTGCAGTGTTGCCTTAGTTGCCTGGAAAAGATGCCAGGACCTCTCTTTGTGGGGGGTACGGCTGTGGGGAACTGCATTCAGACCATTCAGGAGCGTGAAAATGGGGGATGGAGGGGATTATACATACACTGGCAATGGGCCTGGCTGTTACCATGGCACACCCATTGTCCCCGAGCACACGGGCATGGCGGAGAAACCTCGAGTGAAAATGTGAATGTAGTAATTTTTCACTTAGGGGTTGATTTGAGTAATTGCAGCTACACAGTATAGTGAAAGATAATGAATTGCCAAGTGTGTTAGAGATATCTGGGGTAGACGGAAGGTCCAAACAATGCACGCGGACAGTAAAACACTCAACTCAAAGTCATCCTTTTGTACTGAATTTCCTTTTGTCTCGCAGTCAACACATGCACTCATATATGGCCACTCTTTAACAAAAGATGAAGGTTTTGCAGCTGTTCTTAGGCTGCATTTTAAACTCCCGGTAAGTCTCAGCTCCAGAGTAGTATGACTCATGAGAGGAAGGTAATCACAGGCAATGATGTCGACCGCTGCAGGGCAAGCCCCGTTGTGGAGGAATACCCTTGAGAAAGTCCACGCCGTCGGCAAACGACTGCTCATATAGGTCTTGGGATTGCCCTGGCCTCACAGCTAATCATAGCTGTCCTTCTATACCGTCTAAGCGTCACTGTCCAATCGACGTGTAGCTTGGAGCAGCTGCTTTCACACCATTGGTCGAGCTAAAACAAGGGCGGTTTTTTTCCCCTCTGCTCGCTCCAACAGCACCATCTCTGGCAGGTGGTGTGCGCTCTTAAAGCGTAAAGTAGGCTAATGTGTAGGACGATAGGTAGGTAGTCGTAGTGGGGAAAAAAACGCCGCGTAGGGTATTAATTTTTTTTGTTTTTTATTATTATTATTTTTTGAGAGGGTTGCCAGATTTGCAGTGCGCGTCGCTACGTTTCCTTTACACCCAGCGGAGTCGCAGTGAGTGAAATGAGCATCGGGGTTCCCCTCTCTGAGCCAGACACTTAGTGCTTTACGGTCAGCGGCGAATTTAGACAATTGCTCCTTCATCATGCAGCTCCAGATAAAAAGACGGAGAAGCCCTACGTGTTGATAAAATCTCGCCGGCGGTATAAAGTGTGAATGAGAGAAAGCCTCCCCCCCTTCCTCCTTCTCCTCCTCCTCCTCCTCGTCCTCCGGGCCAACGACCGACGAGCTCTCACATCCTGGAGCTGCCTCACTTCGTCCGCCGGCGTAGCATACAACATGATATGTTGATGACATTTTTTGGAAGTGGTCGTGCCTTTTGTTTACACGCCGGGATACGTGATATGCGGATCTGCGAGCGCCACGAAAGCCGAGCGAGCGGACGGTTTTTTCTGCTTTGAAAATGAGGAAGCAATTTCATAAAGACCCAGAAAATGGCAAGAAGGTCTCGTCGTCCGTGGGCCCGGATTTGAGTAAAATGAGAAGGAAAGAGGCAAATGCAACAGCAGCATGATTTATTACTGTTATCATTATTTTTTAAATCTGACAGAATGACACCAAAGGGGGTAAAACTGGAGGTAGATGAGACACAGCATCAATGAAGGCGATCTGCACAAGTTTTAAGTCGCTCATGATGAACAGAAATACTTTGCAGCTCGATATCAGATCGTTTCCACAATAGTGAAAGATATTTTTTCTTTTTCTTTTATTTCTTGCCCCCGGCAGATTTTCTAGTTAATCACTCATCTGCTTTTTTCCGCATTGCATCTGCTGTCTTTTTTCCCATTAAATATTTCATTTTTTTTTCCTATATTTTTGATCCGGATTCAGCCCTGACTATTCAATGGAAGTATGTTATCAGCTGCCGGTTTTGCCTCTAGACAGGCCGGTTCCCAAGCATGTCCTCAGCCGAAGGGGAGCCATTAGTTTCAGCTCCAGCTCTTCTCTCTTCGGGGCTCCTGATCCAAGACAGCTGTCACAGGTAAAACACGTATCATTTCCTATCATCTGATCACAGTGGGTTCGATTATTTTATTTTATTTTTATTTTTTTGGGGGGGGGCACATGCGTCTTAAAACCCACATCATTTTCAGAAACCATATAAATAATCCACAGGAATCTTGCAGGTGGTTGCTGGATATTTAGGCCCCATCTCTCTCACTCACACACACACACACACACACACACACACACACTGCGAGAGCTCTCCATCAGAGGCATACTGTATATTCTTATCTTCAAGAGCCTAAGACACACAGCAAGTCATCACCCAAAGCCAACTTTACATTTGTGTATGTTTCCCCCTGATAAAGGCCTCTTCAGCTTAAACTTTGTAGCCTTCCTCAGAACCATGATGCTGAGGTGTACCAGCTCACTCCTGGGAGTCAGAGGGAACGTGCCACACAGTTATTTATGTTAACATGCTGGGAGGAGAGCTTAAATCATTGAGTCATGCTTGAACTTCCTACTTTCTCAGAGTGTTGAATTCTTTAAAATGTCCCTCTGGTGAGCCTACCGTTGTTTATTCCTCTTGCTTCTCAAAACAGCCTGTGTGTGTGTGTGTGTGTGTGTGTGTGTAGGGCGGCGGGGGTCATGTTCTGCTTGACTGCCATGTACACACAGACACTGGCAGGCAGCACAGTGCATTTTGAATACATTAGCCAATCGCTGAACCACATTTGAGCACGTGTCTGAGGTAATGGTACCATCACTTTGGCCTTTGTCCAGCGCACTAGTTTAATCAAGGCATGTGCCTGCGATGCCAGCTCACAACAAAAAGCTGCACGTCATGTCACCAGTCAATGAAGTCCCTTCTCCACGGTGTCGCTCCTTTTAAAAAGGGAAGCATCGTTACTATTGATTCAGTGTTTCTTGACAAAAGTAGCAGCGGGGTGTATTCTCGTGCCGTTGGGGTCACATCCTGCTAGTTGCTTGTGAACAGAAACTCCCACGGTGTTGCACGGCACCTCTCAGCCCATTAACTGAGCATTAAGCAACTGTCTATGACTACGTGAGCGTCCTCTTCAATGGGCCATCCATTAGTTCTTTGTACAGGACCCTGCTCCACATATCCACCCATGTGTGTCTCTGCTTTGAGCCTACATCCATCCTCACAGGCAGCCCCTTCAAAGACCGATTCATAGGCCTGTTGTCAGCACTCTTTCTTTTTTTCTTTTTTTTTCTCACTGGGTCATTAGTGTTTGTCCTTTGGTGACCAATATCATGCAATCTTGGATAAGTTGGCTGGACCATGTGGTCACTCAATAACACTCTCTGAACACACTGTGCAAACATCTCTCTCTGAGTCAGTCAGGAGGCTTTTCATAAAACCAATTCAACATCCTCAAACTGTCCTTGCACAATGGTGGTTTCTGGACCATAGTCCAAAGGAGGATTCCTTGGGGGAAATCCTAAATCCTTATAAGGAAATCAATATAAGTATAATGCTGCATTGTTCCTTTTATGTACAAACAGAATCCGTGAAGCCGTTCTGTCTCCTGCTCACGTTGATCTCTCAGTTCGGCCGGTCTGCCTTCACAGCCTTTGCTTCTTTGTCATAAAAAGTGCACTGTTTAGTGTTAAAATCATTTCCCATGAAACTGGACTGGAGAAGGCTTACAAACACTGCAGACAACATTGAGACCAGCCTACGTTGTAGTCATTTGTCTTTATCCCTTGTGAACATCGGCAGAATTGGGTGAACCTGCTTGCATACGGCAGTGTCACTCAGCCTTTGTCACCAAGCAATTACACTTCTACAAATATTGTTTTTTGGGCCCTATTTATGACCATAAGGGTGCATTTGTCCTTGGTGGCTGCTGTGTTTTTGTGTGTGGTTCCACAGGCCTGTTGTTTGTGGAAGCGGGGCTGGACTACCATTGCAGAAAGAGGCAGTTAGGCATGGGCCTCAGCTCTGTGGGCAGTGGTTTGGCTTGCTGCCAGGCTCACAGATGGTCGAAGTCTCAGTCCCTTTTCTTTTCTCTGGCTATCTTGTTCCGCTCGCTCACAAGCTCCCTCTTTTTCTTTCTCTTTCTCCGATGCACCCCTCCCCTTCCCTCGCCGATGAAGACATTTCCTCTCGTAAACAGTGGACGAAAGAGTAGGGTCGGAGTCTCTGAAGAATATGTCACTCTGTGACTGTGGAATTGTTATGATTGGGTGTAAATATGCCGTTGAAGAGGCGTTGAAAACAGCAACGGCATTAAATAAACGGGGCCCATTTATCCATTACAATGCCTCCATTGTCTTTAGCACAATGGGTGTTGTAAGTTGATCAAATCCCCAAAGTGGGGTGAAAGATGAATTAGAATTTTCCTGGAATATGGCGTCGCATTGGCTTCTCTTGGAAAAAGAGAGAACCAAAGACACGAATAAGTCAGATTAGGTTGATGCAAAATGAAAGGACCAAGAGGAGGACGCTGCAAAGAGTCATGTGGTTCTCATCTAAACTACAAAGCACAAATGCATTTGCACACAGCTTGACAGTATGTTACTTGTGTTATTACATACATCTCATATTAAGAGATGATGCACAGGGTGGGAACGAGAGTTTCTCATCTTTTTGTTTGGCTGTCGTGAGCTGCTGCCAGTAACGCACGGTCACACGGTTGCGATAAGGCTTTAAACTTTCAGAAAGAAAGATCCTGCAGAGATAAAAAGGGGTCAATAAACAAATACGGAGTATTGATGAAGCCTGAGCAGTGCGATGATTTTTGGTGATAAAGGGAGGAACGCAGCTTTAGACTGGGAGAACTGATCTGCTATCAGTTTGTCATATCACAGTGAGAGATATCATCAGTGCTGTAGTGGCTGCTGACCCAAGATTGGCTCCTCATTTGAGATGTTTACGCACAAGAGGAGATGATGATGATGATGATGATGATGATGATGATGAGAAGCCCGTGCATAAGGGTGGAGGCTGGCACTGCTTGTTTCATTGCTTCTGTGGGTGTTTCTGTGGAGAGGTCGATAAGGGAATACAGTGCCGTGCTTTTTTTTTTTTTTTGTGGGAGTTACTTTGTTGATTTTAACTGAACCGATAAGGGTTTTTTTTGTTTGTTTTTTTTCCTCCTGTGCAGTGCCATCAGATTGACGTCGTTTCAGGATGTGGTAAGAATGCTGAAGGAGCCGTTCAGACTCTGAGCCTGGTGTTTCACAACCTTTCACAAAAACATTTAACCCCTGCGCCGCCAAAACTTTTCACGCTGAATTCACACAGTTGAGCTGGAATGCACTGTGCTGCTTGCCGATAAGAAGGCGGGGGATTGCGGGTGTTTATTAACCCGCTGATTAATAAAGAGGAGCCAAATATTGCACCCTGTCTTCATTCAACCATACACACTCCTCACCCTTTCTGTTTGCCTCCCTGTCTCTGCAAGGGGCCCCCTCTTATCACGTGACTGATCTGTTTTTGTGCTGCAGCGTCGAGTGCTGTCGGCCACGAGAGTGTGGCTACGCACTTCGACAGCCACAACATCAGCGCTGCTTGATTTTTATTCTTATTTACTGTGGCTTTATTGACGTATGAGCCTATACAGGAAGGGAGTCTATTTCTCAGTGCTACTGGTTTCAAACCTCAGACAGATCGCGCTGGTTGGTGACCTGGGTTTCGTTTGTTTTCCTCAGAAGGCTCTAAGGAGGGACGGGGCATGAAGTTGGCCCTGAGAGGCAATTAGAGCCTGGGGATGATGTTTGAGATGAATGAAATTCCTGTGCAGCGTAGACTTACAGTATGTGTGTATATAAGGCCCTTTTAAGCACTCGGTGTAAAAAAAAAAAAAAAGAAAAATTAATGACACACTTGGCGACTAGTTAAAAGTTAAATAACAATAAAAAATCACTGATTGTGGATATATGACTGCTTGACAGGCAGGCCGCCTTGTAACACTGCTCACTGCTACACTCGTCATCATTTGCTGGCCAAGATATCAGGCCAATTCACCCCAGGCCTCTCCTCCAAAGCAGCGGGCGTCTCGCAAAAACTAACTGCAGCTGCAAAAACTAACAGTGGACACAGTACTCATAAAACACTCTTCCAGCAGGTAGACTCTATCCAGGGTTTTAGTGTATGTAGTGGCTAAAATATATATTATACACACACGCGCGCACACACACTCCAGATCTGCTTTTGTTTATAGGTTAGCACTCAGTTTCTGGAATTTGGCGTCCCACACAGCAGAGCGCTGCAAGAGGCCATAAGTCAGAAGGAAGCTTTTGGTTTATGAAAAACCCGTCCACCTGCTTTTTATCTCGAGCATTTACATATATGTGTGTGTGTAGGGTTTATGTGTGCACTGCTTTGTTTTTTGATATGTCAGTTTATTGGAATACTGCTGGCTTCCTCATTTGCTTGGCCCCAGCTGACTTGCTTACTGGAATAGGCAGGTCCTCAGTTTAAGTCAAATTCTAAGATCTTTATAACCTAGTAAAAGCCGGTTTTAGGCCTGTGTTTCAAATCAGGAAGTGTGAGAATGTTTCATTCGATTGTGCCATTGAAAGGGCATCAGGCATCTGTACGGTGCTCTGGTGAAAGTGCTTTTTGAGCAATGATTTTGAATTTCTGAGTGTTTTGAAATGAGTGTTTTTGGGTTAATTCTGCATGCATTAATCATACTGCATGTTTTCTGATATTTGTTTGTGTCTGTTTAACTATACGGGTGAGAAAATGACAAACAACGAAGCCCTGGGGGTCAGCCACATAGTGAGGAGTTTTCACATTAGGTCCTGACCTCAGAAACCTGAGTGTTGTGCCCCAAGGCAGTGGCGCTAAGCCGAGATAAGAAACAGAGCTGTATGTAAACGAGCTTAGATGGAATTGCAGGGAGAACAATGGTTGCGCTGTTAGGCCTAGTGGTTAAAACGCCAAACAGAACTAAAGCTAGCTTGTTCTCAGACTGCTACAATCAAAAACCAACAGACTGCAACTCATTTAAAGGCACTGAAAGCAATAGAAGTTTTGTTAAATTTTTAAAGCTATGTTGA